AATTGGAAAGGAGATCTTCAAGAATATCAATATATCTGTAAGATCTTTGTAAGAGAAATATCTAAACATCATATTTCGCAATGTCCGTATGAATCTTTCAGCATAGTTAGCTTTTACATCTGAATTTTGTGTGGTAAAATATTTTACATGTTGTTGTTTTAGATATTTTTCATGAGATGGTTATTAAATTCATGTCCTTTGTCTGAACGTATAGCCATTGGTTTCTTTTCAACTGAATCCAGTATACTTTTCAAAGCATGAAGAACGGTTTTACTATTTTTGTTTGATAGTGGGCGAACCCAAGCATATCTGGAAAAGCAATCAATAACCACTAATAAAAGGTTACATTGTTATTATATTTTGCAATGTTAGTAACATCACACAAATCAACATCAAACTGAGCAAATAAACCACTTGTTATGACTCTGTTTCTTGGGAACCGTCTTCTCACTGGTCTGTGTAAAGTATACACATCTTGGGATTGTAACCAACGTTTAGTCTTTGCTCTGGATATTCCGAAATGTTTAACGTTAGAGTACAACTTATCTAATCCACTGAAAGCTCCAGGTTCCTTTGATTGTAATATTTTGATTGCAGAATCTTTTCCTGCTCTGCATCGCTCAGTGACATGATTTTATCTTGTCAGTATTTCCCTCACAGAACGACATACTTCCTCAGTCCACGACTCTGTTTTCAACGCTGTGTTTCTATAATCCAGACACTGATATTTAAGAAGGTAAATGGATGGTATTTTAGACACACACGATAAAGATGTCACATATTTCCGCCATCGATGAATAACATCTGTTTCATCTACACAGTAAAGACTATGTTTGATGATTTCTTCTGAACACTTTTGTTTGTTAATAATAGTTTCTGTAACAGTCATAACATAAGCATGAACCAACAATTCTTCAAGGATATGACATATTTCAGAACTTTCAATTTCATCTATAACCACATTGTTGAAATTCATGATTATTGAAAGATTGAAGTTGTTTGGGTTTGTTGTTTTTACTTAACTGATTGTCAACGTCACGCAAGTTACCAAATACGCCACACAAGTATAATTACCTTCAAAACATTTCAACGTTTACATAAGCTCTTTAAATAACCTCTTAAGTAGATTTATAAACATAATCGCGGGAGATTCTACTTGATATGAGTGCAAATAAACTCTTAAGTAGTTTGTAAACATAGTCGTCGGAGTCGTGTGAATGCTACGTGATATGAATACAATAAGGTGGACATTCAAAACTGTGGTTTTAGCGGAACACTATATACTACTCGCTTATCTCTTCATTTTGTTTTATGGATCTATGTTTTGTGGTTATGTCACAATAAGGCTTTTAATCTATGGTAGCGTTTCCTTAGCCAATCAGTTTAGGTGGAAATTTGCCGAGTGCTGCGTCAAACAACATTGCAAACATTATCACCACTACAGTGCTTTTGACACCACACGCATGTCTTCTCTGTTACAGTGGGTCACGTGTGAAAGGAAATTCATCAACGGTACCTTCACCTATTCGGGATTTTGTGTTTATCTTCTCAATCATCTCTCCAGAACCTTTAATTTCAGGTACATATTTCATTATCGTTAAAAATAATCTGTCTGTTTTGTGATTCAAACCATTTGTAATCATTACTTGTCAGATGTCCAGAGCGTCCCAATAAGAACAGTTGGAAACTTTGATTTGGTTGATGTTTCGAGGTGTGTCGACAGCATACCAGTGAATTTCACTGAATTGGTAAATTTCCAAGACTTACATCACGTCGGGATTTCCTCCCAAAGTTAGCAGACACGCCGTTGATCAAACGCTGTGTTAATGAAACTCTTTCTCATCGTTGATTTCCGTCAAATTGTTGTCATCCAAAGTTTCCTATCCATGGTCACCATGGAAATGTATATGAAATATATGACCACTGCATTATATGAGCGACTTGGCAACATAAAGATAAATAATGAAACAATTATTTTCAAATAATGTTTTAGCTTTATACTGAAATTATTAGGAAACTTTCAGCGTGATACAGTCCCGAGGGAGGTAAGGGGCAAGACAGGTTCCATACAACCGCACAATTCTTTTCTTTTTTGATCGAAGTGGACAATTTCTTCTGTTCTTTCAGTTATACATATGTGGAACCAGCGGACCAGTCCTGGGGAATACGGCATCCCAATGGCACATGGGATGGAATAATTAGGATGCTGATTGATGGGGTATTGCTATTTTCGTATATCGTCTAGTTATTTGGACAATATTCAAAGCATGTTATTGTTCCATACGTTTTTTCACGGAAAAGTAAACACATGATATTTTTTCGAATGTTAATTCACTCTCATATTAGTCTAATGTAAGATTATCTGTGGCATAGTTCAACAGAGAGATTAAGCCTTAATTTTCCATGTTTTGATCGTGAGTATACTGTCCGTTTAACACATCATATTTTGTGAATGGTATCACACTGACGTTTCAGTTTATGTTAACCGCAATGTGTAGCATAGGTCAATGGAGACGTTAACCCTTCATGATCCTGCTGGTCGTAAGAGGCGACTAACGGGATCGGGTGGTGAGGCTCGCTGACTTGGTTGAAACATGTCATCGTAGATCGATGCTCGTGATGTTGATCACTGGAATGTCTGGTACAGACTCGATTATATACAGACCACGGCCCAAAGCTGAAATATAGCTGAGTGTGGCTTTAAACAACAAACCAACCAACCCTTCTTTATCCGTGTTTTCAGTACTTTGCCTCTGCATTACCCCTTAAATCCGCTGGAATTTCTGTTCCCGTTAATTAAACTTGAAACGTCCGATCAAATGCCTTTGTCTTTGATTGGTCTTGATTGGCACTTGTAACATTATCAACAGCCCCTCTGGTATCCTGTTTGCACACACCAGCTGCTTCAAGTGAAAATATATACTAAAGTAGTGTCGGAAATATACTGAAAGCCATTAAAAACGCAATTGGTATTTGTTGTCCTAAAACTTACAAAAGTTCTTTTGAAGATTTTTTCCTGCGATACAGAGGATGTAGGGATAAAAGGCTGTTATTCTGGCCCATTTCGAGTTCAAGTCCCGGAGCATTCCTCTCACATGAACTTTGATACTTAAAACTGAACCGACCGCCTCCGTGGTGTAGTGGTTAGAGCGTCCGCCCGGAGAGCGGAAGGTCGCGGGTTCGATCCCCGACCGCGTCATACCAAAAGACGTTAAAATATGGTACTTGTTGGTCCCCGCCTGGCGCTCGGCATTAATGGGTACAACAAGGACTGGTCGGCTCGGAGTCAGTATAATGTGTCTGAGTGGGGTATTCATGCTTCACTGCAGCATGGTATCTCAGTGAGCTAGCACTATAAAACCAGCTTCAGTCTGGGCTAGTACAAGCAGCCGCACATACACGTACACACGCATGCACGTCGTCATATGAGCGAAATATTCTCAAGTACGACGTTAAACCCAATTTCACCTCACCATCACCTAAAACTGAACCTTTGACATTTCTCGTAAACACAACCACATTCAGCGCACGGTGCACGGTGGACACACACCATATTGACTGCAAGTGACCCCTCCTTTGTGTGATGTCGTTGTTGCGTCACTGATGTTGTTGTTGACTGGACATTTTCAGATGAAATTATCCACAGATGTTCACTTAAAACATATCTGCCAGTTAGGTTTATATATGTTGAACTTAGTGTGAGTAAAGAAAGTATGAATGTCAAATTGCATTTTTAATGGCCTTCAGTATAGAATAAAACTGGTTTTAGGCTGTTACTCTGTATCCCTAATATTTACACAATTGCAAATAGCATATGTCGAAATACGCCACATCGGCCTAACTGGGCGGTCAGTGGGATGCGTAATAGGATATCCAGAAAAGCATGTTTACTCGTAAAATCGGGCAAAACTTAGAAAAAATACGAATAGCTGCTGAAAACAATAGATCAGACTATAGATGGCAAGGAGGTCGCTCAGCCAGGTATGACGACGGACCATCGACTCACCTGGCATGAAATGCACGTGCTGCCTACAGGCACAAAGGGTCATCTCAAAGATATTTGCTGCCTTTTCTTGTGTGTTGAATATGTCGCATCTAATGATTAACATCTTACGTGTATTTCTTTCATAAAGTTTATGTTGAGATATGTAAAAGAGTATGATACCCATACAAAAGCATAATCAGTCATCGTATTAAATGTCTCAAAATATATAGGTGGCATGACCACCCGAAGATCGACAGGACTGGATATTATTTGTAAATTGTTATGGCATGCCGTTTACTTCCCCTGAAGGATTATCTTATCTTAGCTGATATATCTATACCCCAGCCCGACCCCAAGCCACCGTCTCCGACACCCATCCTTGTATTGCTTTTGAGACGACCCCTCCTACCTGTTTGTTTTTATAGTAACAGTGAGACTCCATGGTAGCTACATCCTTAATAGTTTCAGTATTAAAGTTATTATTTATTTACCTTAGCTATCGTTTATAGTCTAATTTCAAAATGGGTATTTAAAAAGTGTCCTTTGTAATACAATATCATCGCACACTAATTTGCATAAAGCCATGGTCTGTTCCAAATAAGTCGATTTGGACTTAGAAAAAAACGCATTGCTCATTTCTGCACTAATCTCTCCTGAGTAAACTCCAATTTTTACGTTTCATATCTCCCTACCACTGAGACTACAGTTAGGGCGAACTTAGATGAACACATATTTCACACTTTCACATATTATCTACATAAATTGTAGATGTAAATGTGAAATAACAGTTTTTTTCTATTTCCGACAGTACTTTAGATTAGTATGTCCAGGTCCAATATCCTATCGTTTCCATTCGGTTTGTTCCCTTTCAGTCCCGTCTAGTTGACATAAATGTCAATATGAATGCCTTGACACACTGACTGTGAGTTGTAAAGACGTTATCAAGACAGTCATACTTGCCCCTGAACTCTCACTGAAACATCCAGGAACCATCTTTTCATAAACTTGTTTGCAGAATGCCGACATATCTCCTGTTCCATATGCCCTCTCCTACGAAAGGTCCATGGATCTGACCTTTTCGCATCCAGTCGACAACCTCCACGCTGATTTGATCTACAAGAAACCTGTACACGGTGTGAAGTGGGGTATTCTGCTGCTCTGTTTCCAATGGCAGATATATGCACTGGGCTTTGCTGTGCTGGTTTGGGTTGCTGTTATTTTTCATACATTACAGAAGGCCAGCGAGTGGTTGTTCCCCCATAGAAACAATCTATTTGTATCGAAGACTGCACTCATCTTAGGTGTTCCATTAAAACAGGGTTAGTATGATTTCCTCGCACTTCTGTTTCAACCATTGCATAACTGAACTTATACACAACACGAAAAAGGCAAAACAGATTGAGAAAAAAAATGTCATATAATAACAGAGATAATGATTCATATAGTTTTATTTCGATTGAGGGAATATATACAAACTGTAACTGTACATAAATATACTTAAATGTTTTAGCAAGTCGTCCGTGTGTTGTTCAAACATTCTTAACACATGGGTTAAGTTGCCATTGGAACAATTTGAATAAGCCTTTTATGAGAGAACGAAGACTGAAATATGCATGATAAATCTCTGACTTTCTGGTGTTAGTACAAGTAACAGAACGGGTTAGTATGTTGTGCACAAAGAGAAACATCAGTTGATGAGTCCAATATTGATGAATGTATCTTAATGTCAACGTAAATTATCCTTATTTGGCGTTATTATGATCCGGTTATATATGTTGCAGGTTCGCCTGTATTACCACCAGCAGACTCACATCGTGTCCTGTTCAGTTTCTGGTGGATATTTTGTGTTGTCATCACGTCTGTATATTCCGGTAACCTCATCGCCTATCTAGCCGTCGCCAAAGATGATGTTCCATTCACGGGGATGGGCGATGTTCTGGAAAGTGGGTACAAGTTGGGAGTAGATGCAGGAAGCCTTGAAGAGTCAATGCTGAAGGTATCTGTACTGTTATCAACTTACTTTTACTATATCGTGTTTCTTTCCGCGAATATTTTGAAAGTCCACCTAAACACAGATATTCATATAAACACAGGCTCAGGATGTAGTCGGACTGGTGCAAGGTTGTGTTTTCAGCGGAGTTTAAATACGATTTCGGAATGCTTGTGTTTATTCCGGCCTTTGTCGCTTACGTTTATTGATCTACATGTTATCTTCAGGACGAGAATTAGAGAACTGGTACCTAAAGAATGTGATATTGTTGAACTGTAGTACATTAGGGTGTCGGGAATAGAAATACTATATCAAATATACCTCAATGAAGAGGGAATTTGTGTAAGAAATGTGACGACTTTTTCAGAATTCAAATAACTCGCTTTACAAACGACTATGGCGGAAGATACTAGAACACAGTCCTAAAAATATGACGGCTTCTGAAGATGAAACCTTCAACAACAATCAACTGGAATCTGGTGGATATGCCTTGATAACAAATGTGCATATCATCGAGAAATATATGGCCAAAAGATGTGATATGGTGGCAACCAAAGAGAAATCATTCCAGTCCTATGCGTCACTTCCCCTGCCGAAACAATCTGCCTTGGCCGGATTGTTTGATCCTGAGTAAGTGCCCAGGCTTTCCATCTAAATATTTAAATTTGTGACTAGTGAAATCGAAATAGACTTGATGATGGTTGAAAACTTTGAATACTAAATATTCTCCTTTGCTTGAATATGTTCAGTTCGTTCAAAAGTGTCTATCAGTAATCAGTTCGTTATGTTATGATGATTTTACCTGCGCACGAGTTACAGTCTGCAGAAAGATAATTTGACCAGTACACAAAACAAGGAGACTATTTGTATGAACAGTGTCTCAGAATTAATTTTCGTTTCCCAGAATATTGTCCCTGGTGGAGAAGGGTCTCACAAGATATTGGTTGGATCTTGCAATTTCCAAGAGAAAACAATGTGCGACTGAGAGACAAGACAGAATCCAAAGAGTAGATTTGTTCCTGGTGTTTGTGACGTCCGGAATCGGTATAGCATCAGGAACTGTCGCCTTATTTGTGGAACATGCTATATTTCGATACCACAGAGGAATGGGTCATGCCTAAATGCAGTATGTTGTGTCCCAGGGCTTCAAGGACTAAGAATATTACCTGTATAATCTGTAGCATAGAAAGTTAGGGTTTCAGCTAGTTTGTCCCACTGGATACTTCAATGTTCATTTACATGAGCGGGGACCGAGCACTGCAGGACATGCTGTTGTATCAAGTAATATTAAGACAGGGATAATTAGAAAGGTAATGTTTAGAGTGCAGCATGTTTAGGGTACTAGATCATTATAATGGCTAAACTCTCAGGTCAAAGTGGCTCTGCATCACTACTGCTCTGAATGAGTTGTCAGTGCTTCGTGTCGTGTTGTGTTTGAATTTCCTTTTTCAGTAATTAGTGTTATTGGTGAGTTTAAGCTGGAAGACAACCAGTGGCATCTCTGGGCCCGGGATCATGAAAAAATCTTAAGTCTAAAATTTGCTTTGCACAAAAAAGTCTTAAGTCTAAAAATATTTGCTTAGCTAAGATTTTAGATAAGACTGGATCATGAAACTGTCTCAGCAAAATCTTAGCTAAGACTTAGTTTAGAATGATGTAATCATGTCCGGTCACTCTTCATTAACTGAGGAAAATAGTTTAGTAGGAGGCACCTGCTGAAATGTTCCAAACAAGTCAAGTGACGTTTTCATCCCTGCCGCGGTGAATTTTACTGGCTTTACGGTACGAAGGGAACTCAACAGTCACCGGAAGTTACGTAATGGTTTGTTTGTCAACACAAACACGTGCTGGGCTATCGTCTGCTAGAGTCACAGAGCTGTCAGTATGGCGGAGTATCAGCTTGGCTTAAATACCGAAGAGAAGAAGAGAAGATCCAACTGGACCCGTCAAGAGGAGACAATCCTTATCGAAGAGGTGAACAAGAGGGAGAGTCTCCTCTTCGGAAAGCTCGACGGGTCCATTCGGACAAACAAGAAAAAAATAAGTGCCTGGGAAGACGTTGCGGCGATTGTGAACTCGTAAGTTGTGATTAATTTGCTTGTATATAGAGATATAGATTCGATCACAAATATAATATGCAATATTTCAACCTAACTGAAATAAATATTTCTGCTGATAAATTTTATTCCTCAGACAACTGATGTATGAAATGTACTGCGTATCTAGTTGGGCGAATTGTTCTAATGTAATAATCAAAATAGACTGAGCTGAATGAGCACTTGTGGATTTATTCGTTTGGCGGACAAACTAATCCAATACTTGCCACCTTCATGCACTCTCACTTTATAGATGTAAAAACAAATTCTAATATGGCAATGAGTTTAAAAAGGCGTGAATGTCATCGAAAAGCTGCTATATCATCGGAAACTCTTCTTACTTCTTTCTAAGTAGCCGTAATCTATTTTCTGATTGGTTCATAATTTTGTGTTGACCAATCACAAGGCTGGTTACATTACATGTCGGTCTAGTTTTTATTTTGATTTCACGTTGTCGTGTATCGGCTGCTATTACGCTTCAGTCCCGATAAGTTGTCAGTGAGAGCGACAACCACACATATATATACTTGAAATGTTCACATGCAAATAGTATTTGTAAATCTGGATTGGTTTTACAGAAAAAAGGGAAGTATCTAAGTTTCTATTTTGCATTTTTGATCCCATGTTAAACTCGTGTTACTGTTAGTACTGTTACATGTTTTCGTGGTTCACCTGTTTTCTTGATCATTTCTCATTAACTATCTTATCAATCTCCATAACTACAGGTAGATTTTGAGTTGCAAATTCATTTTGAATACTATGATCTTGATTTTGTTTAGAAACGGCAACTCAGAAATCAAATCAGTCGCTGAAATGAAAAAGAAATACCAGAACATCAAACAGAAAGGTAAGTCACAATTTGGAATATCTAAATATTCTACAATAACATAGTCAGTACAGGAAAATAACAATTTAGGCACTATGCCCTTATTGCTGAACCATAATAACATTGTTGAATCTGGGCCGCGTAATTGGGTAATTTACACAGATTCCATTTACTGAAACCCAGTATATGCACATAATTGTTATCTTATATCTACAGTTTTATGATTTTGGAGTGTAATTAGTCTCATTATCATCAGGAAATATTTATCAAAGGTCCAAAATAAATGATAAAATTTAGATAGTAAATATTCTTTATTTATTATTGTCCGTGGAAAATACTGTTGTTGAATGAATTAATGTTTACAATATGATAAGTAATTACAGTAAGAATTCACCAAGATAATGGTTATATGACCCATGGTGCAATGATCATTTAATCTGGAAATTTGAGGAATTAAAAAAATACAATATCTTATATTGTGATTGTCAACATGAAGAGTTATGAATAGAAATAGTATTTGTTGCAATTATAATATTAAAATGAATGTTACAATGATTACAGCCAAAGCTAAGAGGAGCAATGCCATGCGGCCCCCAACTGGAGGTGGACCCCGCCCAGAGTCTCCTACAACCCCTGAGCAGCTTGTGCTACAGAACCTGGAGGGCAGGCCCAGTCTCTGTGGCATATCCGGCGGCATTGACTCAGACAGTAAGTGACAACACAGTTGCACAACAAACAAGAAGGAGGTGAAGTACCAAATCTATCATCTTTACAATAACACAGATAGGTTTTCGGATAGAAATACACATTTTTATTCTGTAAAAGCCACTGATCCATTTTGTCAATCAGTTTTTATTTTCTTTGTAGTGGAAGCCATAGGTCCAGGCTACATTTCAGTATTTCAGAGCTGTACATATGTGCATATATAGTTCAAAATGCAATAAGTTATTTACAGAGTGTACAAAAGGAAATATGATATTATTGACATATGAGTGAATCTCTAAGTTTCATTGCTTTGTGTTTATAAATAGCAAGGTTTTTTACAATTCTGGATTGCAAATTGACATGAGCATATTAAACTTACGAATAGTCGGATTTGAATAGAATTTATGTGGTAAATACAAACATCTCAGATTTTGATAACATATACATACAAAAAAAAATGAAATTAATTTTGAATAAAGTTATCTTTACATACAAAACATAATCTATATTTGATCCGGGCTTGGTTAATATATCTACAGGTTTCAATTTGGAGATGGTGTGAAGAACATCTGACTTTATCAAGGGCCGATCGGAATCTTGAAATTGATAATTCTTTATGTAAAATTCAACATTAAATGAGATTTTAAAACAAAAATAAAGTGATAATTTAGGAATATTTACAAGCGATGTGTGACATTCTTGTTCATAACTTGCTCTTAGTCTAAATCGCAGTCAGGGTTTTGGAAAAAGAGTAAGATTACTAAGTCAGTTAGGTAGATCTAAATGTGTTGATAACCCCAATGCATTGTTATGTACTAAATGTTTCCCGACCTATATTGAAGTCAAATTTCACTTTTTGTTTATTTGTCCCAAGCCGACAACTGTTTTTACCTGAATATTCTAATAATCCATTTGCTTAAAAAATGTTATCAACTGCTACAATGCAGTAATTAGAGATGCTATATCACAGCATAGATATGTCTATAATTTCTAAATTACCCATTATTTCCCAGCAGATGCTTACATGTACATAAACATGCGCAGATACGAACATAAAATTGTTAATATTGTATATGAACTACAACTAGGGCAGGTTTGACTGCAACTGGTAACGTGCAAGGCATAAGTCATTTTTACATTACCCATTATTTCCCAGCAGATGTTTACATGTACATAAGTATGCCTTGATACATAAAATTGTTCATATATATATACTAGTACAACTACAACTAGTGCAGGTTTGACTGCAACTATTTTTACAATACCCATTATATGTATTGATATGTGACATGCCTAATGAACAACTGATTTAATTCCCTATCTCTACATGTAATTGCATACTAACTATAAACAACAAATGTTTTGTGTTTCCAGTTCCTATGACTTATGAGAGTTGTGACACAGAGGCGGCGGCAGAGGAACCAGAATCCACGCAGATGTTTTCATCAATTGATACCTCATTTGTAGATTTTTCTTTTATTGATACCAGTATTGTTAACCAACCAAAATCAAAACCTAGGACTGAAGAATTGATTTTGAAAGAAGAACTAGAAAGGGTAAAGGAAAATAGAGTTCTCATTCAGGAACAGACTAAATTGGCAAAGTTACAGCAGCAGTTGGTTTTGCTACAAATTGAAAATGCCAAAAAATCTTTTTGAGCTGCTGTTGTAACTTGACCAATGTTGTATTGGATGGGAACTCTATTTTTTAAACGTATTCTATGTTTACCTAAAAGAATGTTAGTATCATCATACATTTTAACAAAGAAATATTATACATGTGTAACATTGGTAAATCCATTCTCAAAGCCTAAGATCTTTCTAAATTTAGCTTCAATTGTTAAAGTCATTTTGATGATGGAATTTGACTCTATCTGTTTAAAAGTTACTTAAATTATTCTGGAATGTCACAGAAATGGGATATATTTAATGCACACTTGTTAAACAATAAAAAATACAAATGTAAATAGCATTGTCATAGTCTTTGCTAAATAATCATATTTTTCCTTATCCTGACTCATGCTCTTTTGCTTGTCTTCTTCTTCTTGCGAACATAGTGGAAACACTTGTATCTCCCTAATTGAAGCTCCCTTCAATGTATAATCACTAATTAATACTCACCACGACTTGCCTCCCTTGATCCAAGCGCGGGAAAGGTGGCGCCACCCTTAGGCCACATGCTTCACTCTCTCCTTCTTCGCCCAGTGAGCAGGATGTGAGAGCGCCTGTGTCTCCCTGCACACTATATCCTTTGATTATTCTTAGTTTATTACCTCTTATTCCTTTCTAAAGAGGTGTAGCTAGTATCCTTTAACAATATGTATTGATTATTACTCGTAATTCTACTGTTTATTCACGGTTTTCCGTGATTGTTCAGCTAAGTTTCCGTGGATGCAAATCTGTACTGTTTGTAGATTATGTGCGTTTGCTCCTCTTCAGTAATAGTATTGAAGGGTTACAAGATGGTTTGGATATGATGTATATTTAGTGTTCAAAATGGGGATTGACTATTAATACTGAAAACTCTAAGATTGTTATTTTTCGCAAAGGAGGTAGGCAGGCAAAGTCAGAAACTTAGACATTAATGGTTCAAATCTTGAGGTTGTCAGAAATTTTAAATGTCTTGGTTTAATAGTTTTAATGGGTGGAAGTTATTCCCTGGCTCAGAAAACTTTGTCGGAACAAGGTCAAAAGGCAGTTGGTTCTTTATATAAAAAATTTAATATCAATGCATATGTTACTCCTGATGTACAATATCAGTTATTTCAATCAGTTGTTTGCCCCATTCTTTCTTATGGCTTTGAGGTTTGGGGTTTTATGGGAGCCGATGCCATTGAAAGGGTACATTTAAAATTTATGAATCATATTCTATATGTGAAAATGTCAACTCCGTCATCATTTCTATATGGAGAACTGGGTACATATCCTCTGAAAGTTTTAAGGCTTGTACATATTATCAAATATTGGATTAAGATTTTGAGAAGTAACCCAAATAGATATATTGTTCTGATATATAATTCATTATTGGATAGTTTGAATGTAAATCCTAATACTGAAAATGGGGCAAGTTTGTTGAGAGATACCATTTTTAGGTTCGGTTTTGGGTTGCTCAGTTTGTTCCCAATACACAGAGGGATAGAGATACATATTCCCAAATGTGGAAACATCAGTTGTCAACTTTAAGTGAAACCAGATTGTATCTTTATATTAGGAAACTCTTCGTTTCGAGAAATATTTATCTAATATTGATGTTAAAAAATACAGAATTGCCATGACACGTTTTCGTCTCAGTTCCCATATGTTTATGATTGAGAAAGGTAGATGGAGTGTACCTAAAATACCATTTATTGATAGGAAATGTGCCTTTTGTCCACATGGCATTGAAGACAAGTATCATGTATTACTTATTTGTCCTAAGTATCAGGAAATATGTCAGCGTTATTTATCCTCTAGTCTCCTCAGAAATGCAAATATGTTTAACTTTGTCAGAATGCTGAAAAGTGGAAATGAAGTTACGTTTAACGTTGATAAATGTATTTATTATGTAATGTATGAAAGAAATAAGCATGAATACTTATAAGTGTATACTATATCTACCCTTGCTCTTCGACAGTATCATAATCATTGCATAATAATAACAATTTATACTGTGTGTATAATCCTGACATGTACTGAAGATCACTATATTGTCAATGACATGTATTATTTTAGTTTTTGACCTAATAAAATCTTGTCTTGTCTTGTAACCCTGGTGTATTGTCATTTTGTCATTATTACATGTCTCAAAAGTGTATTTTTTTAACATTTCATGAACAATTGCAACTGAATTACACTTTTATTGGCAGCTAAGCAGCTAACTGGGATACTCAAGCAAAGTAAGTTTGCGCAATTACATCTCTGATACCAAATCCATCATTGACATGGAAGTCCACAAGCTGATTGTCAGGGCCTTGCAGTGTCAACTCTTCCACATCACTGATAACTATATCAGACTGTAATATACCAATGTTGTGTAAGATAACACAAGCCACAATGTACTTGCAAGCCCTTGCTGGATTTGTTCTAAGACCTCCAGAGAGACAAGGAAATCGTCTTTTCAATATTCCCAAGGTCTGTTCAACCAGTACCCGTGTCCTACTCAAAGCTGAGTTAAATTTTTCTTTGTGCCGAATATTATTAGTGTTGTTGTATGGCGTCATTAAGTATCTCCGGCATGGGTAGCCTGAATCCCCGAGAAGAATGCCATCGTGTAGTCCTGGAAAAGAATCATTTCATGATGTCAGTGAATTGAAATAGAGGAAAAAGTGTCCTGTATCCAAAATAATTCATAATTTCATGTGATTGATATGAAAATTTCAATTTTGGCAAATTTCATGCTTGTTATAAAAACAATTTCATGTACATAGTACAAATACTTTACCATTTTCAAAGTTATCTGACAATTTGCTTTCCCTGAAGATCCTTGAGTCATGGCATGAGCCAGGCCAGTTAGCCACGCAGTTTGTGATGAGGAAACTTGGGTCGCATACCATCTGAAATCATTAAAAGCACATTGAAACTTTTCTGTTCAAGTTAACTAATTAAAATATATTTCTACATAATTTTGACTAAATTTTTCGATAATGGTAAAGTTGATATTGCGGTTTGTGTAAAATATAAGGTGTAACAGAATCTTTTTAAAAACATCATGTCATCTATGAACACATTCAAGTAATTTGTTTTGTTTTATTATTATTACAATTTATGGAATTGTTTTGGGGAAGGGTAGTAAGTCTGATGTTCAATACTCTGGAAATTGCAATACTTCATTGTTTATGTGATTATGAATAAAATTGAGAATATTTTACATTAATATTTTGTAGTCTAATAATGTTTCTCCTTTAATAAAAATGTTTTTAAAAATTAAAAGATGGATGGTGCATTGCATTTAGGTCAGACAATCAACATTGCTTTGGGTTACCTGAACATTCAAGGAATGATAACCCTTTCTGTTTACAAAATCAGGCTCATTTTCAACAGGTGCGATAATCCGAATCTGGGTGCCGTCGATGCTACCTGCAACCTTTGGGAAACCTAAAATTGAACGAAAAATCTTAAAGCTAATTTTACCTTTTAACATTGTTTGCCTGTTATATTATCTTTCAATTCATTTTTTAACTTATTTACGGTATTTGTTCACAGCTTTCAACAGCCTAAACAGGTGGCATTAGTATCGGCAATTATAGACTATGGACAGTTCGCACTCAGAAAGACTTGTCCCTATCCCGAACGATAATCTTCATTGCGAAATGGTTTACATGTAACACATGCAAGATTTTAGTAATACTTAAAATACACACATTAAAATATATTTTTAGAAATATTTTACAGTGCGATTTTGATTTGGTTACGAATGCGTTGTCAATCAAGGGGACGTCACTCTAGTCGAGCCGGGTATTTCAACAGTGTCATGGCGTCTGTTTTCGAAGAGAGAATTATTGTTCAATATTATAGAGTAATTGTAAATCTATATTTATGAATCATTGTGCTAAAGAATAATTATTTACCTGCGATTGCGTGAAACTTCCTTTTCACGTCTAGTAGACGCTGGCCACTTGGGAATTTGATAAAGGTGGAGGCGTGACGACAAATGGCATCGGCCACTCCCCGAACACACCTACCCGCCGTCGACTTGCTGATGTGTAAGGCTTCACCGACAAGCACATGAAATGCCCCTGTTGCTACGAACTGCAAAAAGGTTAGCACCTGCAGCACAGGTGGAAGGCTTAAGGTCTCCTCGTCTCGTGAGCAATTTGTCCACTGATGAGGTTTACCAAAAACAATATTGTTGATCGCCTAAAACGATACCGATGGAAAAGTTCCTCGTCCCCATAACATTCGAGAGGGTTGAATCTATCCCTAAATTTTCTTTGGATTCGCTCTTTCCTTTCCTTCTGTCTAACAAGTCGCGAAACGCGTATCACCTCCGCCATGTTTGCTAGGAATAAAATTGACTTAAGACTGGTAGGTAGCAGTCTCAGGATTTAAGACAAAAAACGATCTTAGTCTTAACTTTTAAGACTAAAAAATGTACGTGATCTCCGATTTAAGACAGTTTTTTGGACTTAAGACCAAAATGACATATTTAAGCAATTTTTAGACTTAAGTCACTTTCATGACCCCGGGGCCTGGAGATTCTTGACAACAGGGGTGTCTCCCGGGATTAATGACTACCAATGGGGTCTCTGGAGATTCTTGACAATAGTGGTGTCTCCCGGGATTGATGACTACCAATGGCATCTCTGGAGATTCCTAGCAACAGCGGTGTCTCCCGGGATTGATGACTACCAATGGCATCTCTGGAGATTCCTGGCAACAGCGGTGTCTCCCGGGATTGATGACTACCAATGGCGTCTCTGGAGATTCTTGACAACAGTGGTGTCTCCCGGGATTGCTGACAACCAATGGCGTCTCTCAGGATTGCTGAAATTATATACGCATCCGAAACAATGTTGAAATAGTTTACCAGTATCATTTTAGTGTGAAATAAGGACGCATTTGCCCTCATTAAAACTCCACCTTGTTGAAATTTGATTATTCAGTTTAATCCATTTTTATCACATACATTGGCATCTTATTCGTACATATTAAAGAACCACTAAACTTTGTTTTTTGTTACT